ACAATCTGAAAAGCCAATCTAGCTAGTCTGTAGTGATTTAACCTTATGACAAACTGATTTTTATCGTCTTTCTTTCCAGATTGTTGTCCAGGGCAGCAGTGAATGCTGCACCAGCTCTAGGCGTATCTAATCCCTCTCATAAAAGGCCATTGTGGTAGTAAAACTGAGACCAATGGCTTTTTCATTCTCCACATCTCAGCTCTCCAAAGTAATGGCAATGGGGTCTCCTCTTCATGTTTTTCTTTTCAGATGCATAATTTCTCTTTTTAATAAGGCTAAAATAGAGAGAAATAAAAGGAATACAATCACATTTTCCTCAAAGCTCTTTCTATAAATACCTTCTGGGTAACTGAACTTAGGAACAATTATCTGTATTCTGAGTTGTCGAGACACTGTGTGAATATAGCAAACTATTCATGAAAGTTTCTGATCACTATGAAGTATGTGAACATATTCAAATTTTGGGCACTATGACTTAGCGCTTAATATTTTCTGTTTAAGGTCACCCTGGCCTTCTTCATCATCCTAAAGCCTAAAGACGCAATAAAGGCAGTGCTCAACACCAGGACAGTTCTTGTACTTATTCCTTGCAAAGTAATAATGTAAAAGCAATTACCCACTGATTTTGTGCATTTGCAATGTATTCCTCTCAACAATATTTTCCCTAAACCATAATCCATGTATTTTTATGAAGAATAACTAAGAAGGCTAGACAGCGAATATTCTCTGGGGAAAAAAAAGTGTATTTTCCTTTTATTTCCCCCTCCCCCAAAAAGCCTTGACCTCGGTGCTAAATGTTTTCATTAACAATATGTTAACAGATTATATTTCAGAACTAGTTCACCATTTTGAACAGCAGTATGAGAGAGTTGGTCTGCATTTGATTACAATTTTTTATTTGACCTCAGAGGAGTGCTTTTAACCAGCAAAATACAAAGTGCTAGATAAAAAGATTTAGAAACAGAAACTTTTAACATAAACTCATTTCTCCAAATAAAAAACCACTGCATTTTAATACACTTGATTAATTTTGATACACTTGTAGATATCTTTTTCTATTACCATTAAAATTAAAACCAAACAAATCTGTTTAAATAATATAAAACTTTGATTTGGGCATATTTATTTTTTAATTTTGAGAGCATTACGTTTGTGCCCTTAAAATTATAGAAGTGTAAAATGGAAAAGTAAAATTTTATAATAAAAATCATATGATTTATTCCTAAATTTCAAATCGGGACAAAACGAAGGAGAGGTATTTAGTCTGCAAAATAATATTCCATGGGCCAGAGCATGGAACAATTCATAAGTATCCTTGTTGTTTAAATAAAAGAAATCTTCTGGGCATTCTTGATGAATATTCACTAGAATACGCTCTGTCGAAGCAGAGATCCTCACAGGATTTCTTCCAGGTTCTTTTATAGTACATCTGTGGGAAGATAGTTGAAACAGCAGTTCCGGCTCCAGGACACCACAGGCTTAGGCTCCAGAACAATTCCTAAACATCTCCTAAGGGCTCAAGACTTCTTTCACGACAATTACAAAAAGCACACCAGGTTTTCCTTTTTTCCACCTCCCCGGTGGAAGTTCAGAGAACTGGACAAAAAGTCTGCTTGCATCCTAGCTTAAGGGCTTGAAAGCACAGAGGATCTTTACATAAGGCAAATAAAACTGACATCCCTGTGTGATTCTTGGGACTTCTTTTCTCTGGTCCTAAAGAAGAGAGAAGTTGCAGTCACTGGAAAGTCTGCTTTAATAGCAGCTATTTGCTATACAGGCCAAAATCTAATGCAGATGTTCTTAATCACATTACACTTGATCTCAATATGCTTAACAAACACAGTCCTCAGGGCACCCTGTAAGGTAAGTAATCACTGTTACACTAAATTACAAGTGAGGAAGCAGAAGCTCTGTGATGAGAAGACCTGCAGATTTCAAAGTCCAGACTGTGCAGAGGCTCATCAGCTAAACAGACCACCTCTGCCCTCTTGTCTGACACAAACGGTGCTACGTTTAGTTCACACCACTGCTCTAAAACAGACAGATGTGAGGAACTCAGTATAGCTACAGTCACAACTTCCTTCCATTAATAGGAAGAATGATCAAGCAGAAATGATTATATCACTTGGTGCATTCCCCGGAGTTTTGGTTTGTTGTTCTTTGGGTTTTTTTTCAGTTTTGGGTGTTTGTTTTTGGTTTTGTTTGGTTTGTTTTGTTGTTTGTTGTTGTTTGTTGCTGTTTTGTTTTTTCATTTTCTCTTTTATTTACCAGGCTTCTTTTTAAATTAAACGTTTGCAACCACACTGCTGAAGAAAATGTCTAAAATCTGGATGGGATTTCTCTTCAAATGTCAATAGTGCAGTTCAGCAATGTTTCAGGTACCTCCATGGAGAATGTAAGCCTTGAAATGAGTAATGTCTCACCTGATTGTGTTTCATCATCCACTAGAAAACATAGCTGTGTTACTTTTGGCTAAAGGAATCCTTGATGCTTTTACATTCACTTGTTGCTTTAGTTACTATTTCAAGGCAAGATGGCCAAATCACAGAAGTTGTCACATAATGATTGTGAGACAGCTGAGACCAGACTGCGCCAGTAGCCCATCTTCTCTACTAATCTTCCCTTTTTGTATTTACATCGCCGCCTTTACTGCCTCAGTCTCTTGGTCTCATCATCCCCTCTCCTTCTCTCCTACCTGTCTCACTCCTGTTTCCTCATGCTGCTTTTAGAGCAAGTCCCTTCTTGTGTAGCTGAGGGTACAAAGCTTTCTTTGTGTTTCTCTCCTGCCCCAATACAGCAAAGGAAACAACAAAAGAGCAACAAGGACAGTCAGGAAAGCAAGAGGTCACAGTTGCTTGCTCTGGTACACATAAGAGACGTTCCTAGGGTTATTCTCTTCACTTGCAGCTCTAGCAGCTAACATATTTAGTTTGTTTAAATGCTTCTCATCCGGATTATCAAAATCTTTGGTATTTGTCTTGTCCCAGAGCATAGGTTTTCTCATTCCATAGCTCTGCAGTTTTTAAAACTACTGGGTTCAAACCTACACACAAACAGACTCTTATTCTTCTCTCGTGGGTTTTCAAGGGTCATTCATCTTCGAGCTCCTTTCTGTCAAAAATGTAGCAGCATGTTTTCCTCACTCTTCCCGTGAGGATGATATACCCAGCCTTGGCTCTGAAAACTTTCGGAGTCATTCCTCACTTTACCAGACAGTGCACATTCTGACTGTTAGTCACCTTTATCTTATTCCTGGTATATGCTATCTGATCTTACATCTGGCCAATTCCTTCTGCTTATTCAACATCATGCTTCTTGCTCTCCTTTCACGTTGGGAAAGTCCCTCTCAAACCCACTTCTGCTGCAGACTCCTTAAGCCTAACTGGCTACTCCTCTGCAAATTCCATTTCAAGATTCATCTTTCCTCTCCCTGGCCTATGACTCCTCGCCTTTCCTCTAAAAAACCAATCCAATCCTATTCACTAAGGCTCAGTTTCATTTCCCCATGCTCATTTGTTCTCTCTGAAAATGTGAAGTACTGTACCCAGCCACTGGCCTTTTGTACATTTTTCACCTTGGCAAGACTAGAACATCGACACACTGTCCTACTAAAATACTGAAACTGCATCTATCATTTCTATTACAAATTATAATGGACTGTGAAACATTAAGCTTAGGCTATGGCAAGACTGTAACAGATTTCAACATGTATTCCTTGTTTCTCAGAACACACTCTTTATTATGAAAGAAAAAAATATTTTTAACATTATCGGAATGTTTGCACAAAGCACTACATAAATAAATATGCTGTTTAAATTACTTGAAAAATTGACCATCTATACAATGAACTGAAGGCTATATTCACGTCTAGGTAAAAGGTTTGTAATTCAGATTCTACAGCAGAACCTTGGAGAGCTGTTAATTTACAGAATAGAAAAGACTTTCTGGGTCATTCAGTCCACTCTAATGCCAACATGGAGTAATTACCCATATTATTTATTTTTAGTGCTCTTTCCAGCCTAATTTTTAAGTTCTATGCTACGGTACTTGGGAACGTCTCATTTATTCCTTCTGTATTTATTTCACTGATTAGCACATTACACTGGTAGGATATTTATTTATTTATTTATTTATTTATTTATTTATTTATTTATTTTCAACTGTTGCTTTTCTCTTTTCCTCTTTTATTTTTTTTATTTTCCATTCCTTTTTTTTTCTTCTTCTTCTACATTTCCCCCCACTTTTTTCAGGTTTGTTCTCTTTCATCTCTTTCTTTTTTTTCTTTTCTGTCTCTGTGCTCTCAGAAGGATAGTTTTTATCTGTTTACTTTTTACACTCTCTCTGTACTCCCAAATAAATATACACATGCACATAGAGGCTCTTTCATAAATCTTTCCATCTAGTTGTCAGGTCATCTTTGTTGCTCTTCAATATACAACATAGCAGCACTTTGCTTCCATGTAGAAACTATATTTGTATGCTGAAACGTCAGAGACACTGACCACTAGATTAGGTATCAAACTGAGACTCCTTGTGAATATGCAGATAAATGTAAGAGTCTATGGACTGCTCTAAAGAAGAAGGAAACATTGTCAGCATTGCCTCTGGAAAAAAAAAATTGTATCTAACAGAAGTATCTGCCAAGTGTATAATGACTCCTCTGTAGTTTGTATCATCAGTTCCCACACTCTGGTCTATGGATCACTGGCAGTCAGCAATGCTGTTATATATTACCCACAACTAATCTGCAGAGCCAGTAGTTTGTGCACATCAACTGAAAGTTCGCCCATAATACTGTGGGATGTTCTGAAGGTTCTAGGATGCGCTAACCCAAAATCTTCGAATCAATACAATTTCCAGTGCACTGCTTTCAAGTCTTGTTATGAGAAAACTTTTATGCGCAAAACGTACAGGAGAGAAACGCCACTCATTGTTTACGTAATTAGTATGACAAGTAAGTGCTGATGAGAAATGGATTTTTGCCCTCTCTTTGGTGCAAGTTGAAGAGAAAGAGAACGATGGGTTTATCTTTGCAGACACGCTGTCGATAATGCCGAGATCGCAGGTATGGACCCGTACCCGTGCTCCTGCAACACCGAACACGGGAACAAAGGGAGAAATGGAGACAGACTGAATGAGGGGAGGCAATTAAGGCTTTGCTGCTAATGACAGTAAGCCTAGGTGGCATTATTGCGGTTCTTCTCGGCAAGTTTAACCCCGGCGCTGCCAGCGGCGCCGGGCCGGAGCGCCGGGTCCGCCCCGCTCCCCTCAGGCGCGGAGCCGCCGCTCCCCCGAGGCCCGCGCGCGGGGCCCCTGCCCCGCCCCGCGCGCCGCCAGCCAATGGCGAGCCGCGAAAGCGATTTCTCGCGCGCTGATTGGGCGCCGCCCGCTCAGCGCTCGGGGAGCGGGCAGCGCGCAGGGCCCGCGGCCGCGGGAGGGGCGGGAAGGCGCCTCTCTCCCCTCACGGCTGCGGCCCCCCCGGGGCAGCGGGACCGGCAGCGCGGGCCCTCCGCCAAACAAAGAGACCTTCGACAGCGATCTTCGTAGCGTGTGCGATGCATATGTCTGGCAAGGTTAAAACAAAACAAAACAAAACCGACAAAAAGCGAACAACCCTCCCAAAAAAACCAAAACAAACAAAAAAATCCGGACAGGGACCAGGATGGGTGAATGGTGATCTCTTGGTATTATTAGCAGTCCACAGCTGCACCAATTAAGTACAGATTTCCTATTTTAGACAATCATCACTAATTTATTGGCCTTTTGTCTATCTTGTAAAATGCACAGAAATACAAAGTTGTAATCTAATTTGGAGAGCAGGTAGAAATTAAGGCGTAAAAGTCACTAAATCACACAGCGGGCCCTGGCAGCTTTTTGAAATACCGACATTCTTAACCTTACAAGACAATGTGAGTTCAGTGGTCCTTTTGCATCCACTCATCGGAATCTGCTGCTGCAGATGCACCCAGGGGCCGGCAAGCAGTCTTGCTCTAATTTCTGCCACAGAAATGGGTAAATAAAACCCTGCTTTGGCAGCCATGTGGTACACTGGGCAGGCTCCTTCCCTGTAGACTCATACACAAATGCCAGGAGGGAATGGGGTGAGAGGCTCCCCTCAGAAATTTGTAATTTAAGGAGGTTTTTAAGGATACTTTACCCCCGTCAGTTGGCCTCTGTAGTTAGTAACCCTCTGTGGCTGGCTCTTCCCCTGACCGTTTCTTTCAAAAATTAAAATGATGGTGTAAGGCAGATAAAGCAGAGGCATTTTTGTAATCTCTCCCAGCGACTGTTCCTTGGCTAGTTAACAGACTATCTATTCAGAAGCAATTTTCTTTGGGCTGAAATTATGTGCTGACCGTAGCAGATCACTTCCCATAATACCCCTTCCCCCACCCAACGCTAAATACAAACCGTCTCCTACTCACTGTATAATAATGTGAAAATGACTGTAATTTTGCAGACGAGAAGCAGCCCAAAGTGAAACGTGTCTAAACAGAGGTCAATACTGAAAAATTCAGGGCCATTACCTAAATCTGAAAAATACATACTGTAAGGAAACAGGAATAGTGATCCACGACTAAGTAGACCAAAAGCTTGGTGTTGCTGATCTTAAAATTTTGCTAACCAGTGAGTGACATCACTCAAGAGCTACCCTCGGGGAAACTGTGATTTTCGGTACCTTGTGACATTATGCATGCCCACTCCTCCACAAATTGCTCATGCTGGGCATAAGTGTCCCTCCCTGGGGGGAGAGTGCCAGTGACTCCAGCCGTGTCCGCTGCCACAGCGGCTGGGAAGTGGCCGCTCACAGGTCCTCCTTGCTATTATCCCTGCGTTGTCCCAACAGCCGGGCGGGATGGCAGGGATGTGTTCACTGTTCACACCTCAGCATTTCTTGTTTGTGCCGCACACATGCCATGAGGTGTTTTTTTGTTTTGTTGGTTTTGTTGGGGTTTTTTTGTTGTTGTTTTGTGTTTTTTGGGGGTTTTTTTGGTGGTTTTTTTTTTTTTTTTTGCTTCCCTCCCCCACTTTGTAATCGCTTAAACATTTAATGTGATCAAAGGCCTCCTTGACAATGAACATATCCCTGCTAATAAACCCTTCATTATCAGCCCTTGAAGGGTAGGTATTTTTACACAGGAGAAACGGAGCAGCCTCAAGGCCTCCCAAGGTAGCTGATGCTGGTGACCCCAATGTCCGCGGGACTCACAGCACCTGGAGGGCAGCCTTTTCTCCTGGGGCCCCTGGTCATGGTGACCGGGTGGCCATAGAGCGGACGAATGCCACGCCACGGGAGCTTTTTACCCCCACTAGTCCTGTTTCACCTTCCGCAAAGCCCCCGCAGCATAGCCGGGTCCGGGGGGGTTTGCTCCTCTGGTACCTCTCCACTAATCGCCGCTTTCATTGGGAAGCCTGCAACGCGGGCACGCTGACGAGCGTGATTTGCTCAGCTGGACGAAATCCAAAGAGGTATTTTGTCACCCTGTCATGGGTGTGCAGGACATCGTAAATGCCACGCTTTGACTTCTTGCCGGAAATCTTGACTTGGGCGTAGCGTACGTTTGGCAAGAAAAACATCCCGTATCGATTTTCACAGGGAGATCAGTCCCAGCGAGATCAAGGGGAAGAGGAAGGGGGGAAAAAAAGTCAAAGACAGGGAAAAGGGGGGAAAAGAAAGAAAAGAGTAGATCGTGTTTAAGGATATTAAAAGGAACAGGGTGTCTGCGGGGCTAGTGCCCCCCACCTCCCGACCCTCCCGTGCCCGCGGGCGGCGGCCGCCACCGCCCCCATTCCACCCCCGCCGTCCGCGAAGGGTTAAACGCAATTTAACGCAGTGGTGTAGCATAATGGCTCCCAACGTAAACAAAAGGAATGATTAAGGGGGATATTTTCGAGCTACACAAAGCCCGATAGGGAAGATTTGTGTTACTAATTCCTGTGAAAGGATGTTCACGTGGTAGTTATAGGGTCGCTGGCATTCACACTTCAGTGCGTGCGGCAGTAAATCAGCAGTCTGGAAACAAAAGGGTTATTTTCTGCTCCCCTTCCTTCCGAAAAAGAGGAAGAGAGAAAAAAAAAAAAGGAGAAAAAAAGAATAAAACCCGACCTGTCTAACTTAAGCCATATTGTAAAAATGAACATGTAATAAAATACATGAGGAGCTGTAAAAGTGAATGCAAGAAAGAGGGCTGATCGGAGAGGGGAGCAGCGGCTCGGTGACCCCCAAGCAGAGCCAGGGGTGCTGCCCAACCATGAACCTCCCTTCAGCCCCTTCCTCCAGACACTGTTTGCTTTTCTCCTCCACTAAGCACGAAAATAATCGCACATGTGTATCAGCAACCCTCTCTCGCTGGCTTCAAGCTGTTATAATTTTGAATGAGGGGGCATTTAAAAATTATGACTGAGATTCTAAATTGCCTCTTTGAAACCGGCACAGAAAAATCATTCATCATGGCTTCGAAAACTGCCCTGAAATTAAATTAAAACGAAATGAGGGAGTCTTCCTCCCTACGTGTGAGTCTTGGCAGAGCTACACTCCACCTTGGTTTTCTATTTTTTTCCTTCCCCTCCTCCCCCTCTCTTTTCTTTTTTTTTTTTTTTTTCCCTTTCCCTTCCCTCATTTATTTTTCTCTCCCTCAGCTTTAAATGTTATGTAGGATAATTGAAATGGGAAACACGATTTTGTATCTGGCTGCAGCAAGGAGGCTCGGTGTAGGCTGCGGGCGGCAGAGCAGGGGGCTGCGTGCGTGTGCGTGCGTGCGAGTGCAGAACGTGTGAGTGAGCGCACAATGCGCGCGGAGGTGGGGGCGGGCTGGTGCGAGGGTGCCGGGCGGGGGTGCGGCGTGCGCGGGGGCGCAGCGTGTGCGGGGCCGCAAGGCGCGAGTGCGAGCGGGTGCCGGGGGTGCGAGCGAGCGAGCGGGTGCGTGTTTGTGTCTCTCGCCCTCGCCGGCAGGCAGGAGGAGCGGTGGGCCAATGGCAGGGCCCGGTTTCATAAAAGCTGGGTGCTGATTGGCCGGCAGGGAAAGGGCATCGCGAACAAAGAAAAGTCCCTCTCAGGTACCGCGCGGAGCGAGGCTCCCACTCCCCCGCCTCGGCCGCTGCTGTGGGGGCAGCGCCCCTGTCCCCTGTGCCTGTGTGTCAGCCTGTGAGGGGACAGACACACATGCCGGGTTTGCCTTCTCTGTCCAGTTTTTCTTTTCTTTTATTTTTTTTTTTTGGCGTTGTTGTTTTAATTTTGTTTCTAGAAAGAAAGAAAGGAAGGTTCATGATATCTGGTGCTCTCTTCCTCCAAACACAATAAATCTGTTGAAGACATTAGATTTTTTTTTTTCCTAAAATAAAAAGCGGCTGCAACAAAAACACACTCAATGCAGTTAGAAGGAAAAGGTCAACTCGATCCAATACAGACCGTAAGTACGGTTGCGTGGTGTGTCTATAGCACTTAGAGGGGATTTTCTTTTTTTTCTCTCCAAACGGGAGTGTTAAAGAGTTTTGGGAGTTGAGATAACTAGGGTTCTTGGGGATTTTTAAAGGAGGAAGAAAACCCCAAAACAACCCCCCAGACAGGGTGAGTTATTTGAGGGAAGTAAGAGGGTGAAAGCACTGTAGCCACACAAATCATACTTGACGGTGCACTTGGGGAGCGTTAAAGCGTAGTGCCTTTTTGGGTTTTAACTAACCCACGGGGGGGGGGGGGGGGGGAACAAAAGTGACACCATTACAGCCAAGTCTGCATTGCTTCCCCGCCCCCCCGGGCCCCAAGAGCACTGCGCTCGTTAGCAGGAGCGACGGGGCACCGACGGACCGGGAGGCACCTCGCATGTCACACCGAGACACCAGAAACGCGAGGCTGGAGCCGGGGGACGGGGGTGGGATCGTCCCTCGGCGGCTGCCCGCTTCCATCGCCGTCTCGGTTCTGCCTGCCCTGAGGCGCAGGGAAGGGAAAGCCCTGAGGTAAACGGGCCCCCCCACCCGGGGAGGTGGCGGGGGGCTCGGCGAGGCGTTCCTGGGGGGCACTCCGGGGCTCCAGCCGAGGCGGCGGGCCGGCGGCGCGGCGCGGGGCCGGGGCAGGGCGCGGCCCGCCCCGCCGGGTGTGTGAGGGGCGGCCCCGGCCCTGCTCGGCGGCGGCGGCGG